TTTAAACAAATACAGAATAAGAATTTTCTCTAATAAATTGTGTAAATTATTAAATTATAACTTATTAAGAATTATTATTTTGTGTTTTTACTCAGTTGCCCCCCAAAAGTAAATTGTCAATTTTTAATGTATTTTCTTCTATTTTCTTCTTTGACATCATTTTTCACACAAAACATTACTATATAAACATTTATATGTAAACCTGTCTTATTTTCCTGTTTTATTTTTTTTAATCTTTCCACTTCTGTTAATGATAAAGACCTACAGTTGAATAAAAAGACAAAAAACACAGTGAAAAAGTAAAGACAGACCATTTGAGATCTGATGGATTACCTTCCACAGCATGAGGACCAGCAGTGCCAGCAGCAGGACACCTGCCAGGATGGCAATGAGGATGATCCACCAGGGGATCCAGTACTGGTCAGTAACACCGTGCTCGGGATAAATCATCACTGAAACCTGATAAGGAAGAAAAGATATTCAGCTCAAAGCTTGAAGAAATGCACAAACAGCAACTTAACAGTAAAAATGTTTATTTTTTAAATGAATGTGTGTGAAGTACCAGTGCAGCAGCATCCTTAAGGACCAGATGTTTGATGCTGGACTTCACAGTGATGTTGGCTCTGACCAGCAGCTCCAGAGCACTGACTGCTGGGAACTCCTAAGAGACAGAAACAAAACAAGTAGCAAGTTTGTGTTTAAAACAAGGAAAACTGCACCGAGAAACATTAAAATGTTAGCCAAAGCAACATAATGTTGGCTCCACTAATTACATCATATAAACTATTCACACAGTTTTATAGTATTAGAGCCATAACTATGAAATAGTGAGATTTAAAGAGAAAACAAACTAGACTCTATTTCCTGTAGGTGCTTTGCTGATCCCTTATTTCCTAAGGGATCATTACATGATTAAAGGAGTCCGTCCAGATGCAAACATCATTTATCCAGGCTTGTGACCTCTTGTTCTCCTCCTCGTCCCAAGGAGGAGATACAAACAAGGCAAATTTAATGACAAATTCAATTTCAAATTTGTAAATAAATTTCTATTAAAGAGTTTCCAGTCAATTTAATTGCTGTTTGATGGAAAAGCAAACTAACATATTCACATATTCTTACTCTTTGATCTCAGTGAATATTGAAAATTTAAAGTTCATTTGACTTCGCCAGACATCGTCTGTAACGAGCTTCCTGACATCAGTCGTCACTGTGCAAATGCGTTTGCTGCAGTTGTCACTCACTCGCTGCTCGCTGCAGCAGCTGTGACAGTTGGACTGAAGCTGAGCTTGAGAGTAATATTCAGAAAGGTGCTGATGTAATATTACCTCTATGAAACTGCTGTTCCACAGTCTGGCGTGGATTTTAAGCACAGCCTGACCGGAGAAGCTGTGGAGAGGACACTGGAACAGCACACAGCGTGCTGACCCCAGCAGGCAATCCTAGAAAACAAAGTCACACCTGAATGTAAACTGCTGTGGAAATGAAAGAGGAGCACGTGTTCACATTTTAAAACCGTTGAGTTGTTTGTGTGCATTGGCAGGAAATCAATAACCCACGTTCTGGTCTTTCCCTGGCTCTCTGCTTCTTGTCCTTCTTACCAGTTTGAGCGACTTGCGTCTGTCTGAAGCTGCCACAGCAGGCGTGGTCTGTCCCACGCTGCCTTTAGTCATGATCTGACCTTCCTCCTCAGGGTGGGAGCGGCGTTTTCGCCCAACCTGCTGAAATAGATGCATTTATATGCGTGTTTCAAGAAAAGGTTCAAAAAGGTTTTGTCAAAATACAAAGAGACAGCATATAATATATTATAAAGGGTTTTTTTTTCAGTAACTTCTCTCCTAAAACAATGTAAAACACAGAAAAAGAGAAGATTAAATGAACTGCTAACATACATTCAGCACTGACTTCTGGACTGAGTGACTGAGTCCTTATATCCTATTCTTATTATTTCTGTCACTTGGTGTTAAAACATGGACTTGTGAGCCTTTTTCCAATGAAATAAATTGCTCTTTAAAATATTGTTTGCCCTGACAAATTTTAAAAAATAATTTTGAGAAAAAATGCAACTTAAATATTATTTATTATTATTTATTCAGGGAAACATGACTCGTACAAAATAATTGTATACCATTTGACCAGATTCCATTAAATGTAATGCTTTATATTTTACTTATGTAACAACATATCATGAAAAATTAACATGTACTCCAATTAGTTAAAGTCAGCATATATATTTTTGTGTATATATGTGTAAACAAACGAGTCAGTTCAAAATCGGCAGTGACTTGCTCCGCCTACCCCGTGGCTGCCCGGCTCTGCAGGCGAGGAGCCCTGCAGCTTCAGAGGATTCAGAGCTGATGTAGGGCTGCACTGTGTTTCCGGGTGGCCTTGAAACGTCAAGCTGGCAGGATACAGGAGCCATTTCTCATTGGCCAGCTCGTAGGGCCACATAATGTTGAGGAAGGCAGAGCCAAGTGTCTGGAGAGCTTGACCGGGATTAGCAACCTGACAGAGGGGGAAAAAAGAAGCTTACATTTAATAAAGTATGTTCATAGACGTTTCTGTCTTGGGTCCTTTTTTTTTGCTATTATGAAAAGATAAAATGAATGAGACGGACTGAGAGAAGGCAAAGCTCTCTGGGCAGTATTTACTTTTAAGGAGACAGTATTGTATTTTGTAAATATTCATTTTGAGTTCTCTCTTGTTTTTAAAGGTACATTAAGAAGTTGCTGTGCAGTAAAAGCAAGTCCAATGAGCATGCTTTTGTTATTGACCCCACTGAAACCTATTTTAATATACTTATAATATATCATACAAATCCACTATTCTTAAAATCAAAAATTCTAAAATTCACAGATCTGGTTCATTTTCTCACTGCACAAATTATATATAAAGCAATAAATAACCTGCTTCCTGACAATATTCTAAAAA